ATACAAATGACTCCTGAGGCAGAGCGCTAATTTAACAAGTAGAGACTGTCAGCGGCTGGAGATATTAAAGCATCCATAAAAGAGAATTAATAGTGTACATTGTAACTCTTGACGCAGAACACGGAATCCTCAGCCAGAAGCAGAAATAATTAGTCGTGGATACATACGGTATATGCCAACCATCTCCTTTACAAACATCAAAGATCAATCACAATGGCTCAGAGGCAAAGAAAACCTGTACTGAGAGAATGTGGGCAGGAAATGACATTTCTAGGGCTGTTACTATACACAAGTAAGAGACAGAATACCACTGGTTGCCATGGTTACAATCAAGTGGCATTTTATATATTTTTGGCAGTTGAAAAAATCATAGCAGCTGCAGATTGCAGTGGATAGGGAATTCCTAATAACATTGGACTGGCCAGCTATTATACAGAATATGTCATATCAATGTGGTGCTGGAAGGTGTCCTTCTTTCTCATCTCAGAATATAAAGAAGTATGGAAGACTCAGCGGCAGCCATCTTGCTTGACATATGAGTGGGCACATGGCAGGTATCAAGGGGGAAGGGGGGTTGTTACCGTGGGACAGCAAGCTGCCCTGTGCTCACCCGAAACACATTGAAAATGCATTAAAACACATAAGAATGCACCATACATACATTTTCATGGCCCATTAATACTAGATCTGGTGACTGGTGTGCAGGGCACATAGAATACAATTGTTTTCTATGTGCCGGGTCCACACCACAACACAGGTGGAAGACATAACGCACAGCAGCACAATACACTGCACAGCTGTGTGGGGACCTGAATGGAGGGTACAGTTTTTACACTCCGAATAAAGTAATTCAAAAATGTAAACAGTGGCACTTTGAGAGGTTCTGTGACTCCAAAGAAAAGGTTGCACATACCCTATCAGTCTTATATGGTCTCCTCAGAGAGAGGCTTTGCTCAGTGTCTACGTTTTATCTATGCTTGCTTGGGAGAGGGATCTGGGTCATGTTCTGCCAGGGAAGGACTGAGAGGTGTTTACGTGTACACATTCTGCCTCTATTTCTACTCACCTTCAAGAAAAGAACGATAAAGTTCTCTCACGGTGATATAGATGTCCAGATGTCAGACATCCCAACTCTCCCGGATGCTCCGGGAGTCTCCCGCTATTAGATAGCGGCTCCAGGCCGCCCGGGAGATAAACACTTTCGCGATTACATCCT